GCGGAAACGATGAGGATTAGCACCTCCAAGTCCGAGACCATGGTTCTCAGCCGGAAAAGGGTGGGTTACTGTCTTCATGTCAGGGAGGAGGTACTGCCTCAAGTGGAGGAGTTCAAGTATCTCGGGGTCTCGTTCACGAGTGAGGGCAGGTGAGATCGAGAACTGGACAGACGGATCGGAGTGGTCTGTAGTTTTGCAGATGCTTAACGGGTTCGTCATGGCTAAGAAAGAACTAAGCCGGAAAGCAAAGCTCTCGATCTATTGGTCCATCTTTGTCCCTACCCTCACCTATGGTCATGAGCTATGGGTAATGACCGAAAGAATGACATTGTGGATACAGGCGACCGAAATGAGGTTTCTCCGCAGGGTGTCTGGGATCTCCCTTAGAGGGAGGGTGAGAAGTTCGGATATCCAGGAGTCTCAGAGTAGAACCGCTGCTTCTCCACTTCAAAAGGAGCCAGTTGAGGTGGTTTGGACATCTAGCGTGGATGCCTCCTGGGCAGCTACCCGGAAAGGCTGCAGGTCCTACAGGGAGGAGGCACCAGGGCAGACCCAGGACGCACTGGAGGGATTATATCTCTTGGTTGGCCTGGGAACTCCTCGGCAACCCCCCCAAAGAGCTGGTAGAGGTAGCTGGGGAGATGGAGGTCTGGGTATCTCTCCTGAAGTTGCTACCCCCGTGACCCAAACCCTGGAGAAGCAGATGGTGATGGATGGATGGGCCTGACCTAAGCCGGTTCACTATGCTTCCAGTTGTCTTCCACTTTCCTATGATGGCCTTCACATTGGACACACTGAGGCTAAGGGACTTGGCAATCTTCTTGGCACCATTGTCATCTTTAAACTTATTAATCACAGTGGTCATTAGAAAGTTCCCTTGTCTTCATTTTTTTGTCAGTTTGTCAATCCAGGCGATCATCCTTCACTTTCCAGATTGGGACCACAAGTCCTGTTTTTCTAGACAGTTGGGATGATGCCTGACTCCCAAATGGAAGCATTGATTGCCGCACCACCAGAATTGGAGTACCAAGTCCAACGATGTGGCTCAGGGTGTTGGAACCAGGATTCAGCAACTCGCAGTCCCTGACCTTTTGCAAAGTCAACGAACATGGAGCCACTTTCACCATGATCTCCGGACCCATGGGGACAGACACAATCCGCATAGCCAGCCCTGTCAGTGCAAGCGGTCGCACTGAAGTCACCCATGACCAGAGGAGTGTCACTTTGTGGGCACCCTTCAACCACCGAGAGAAGTTGTGAGTTAATTGTCTCCCTCAACGAGACATTATTCACCTCGGTCGGAGCATATACTGAGACAACAGACAATACACCCAAGGAGTGCTTTAGCCTGAGTCTCATAATGCGCTTGTTGAAAGGAGTGACGTAAGACACCATCGGAATGAGCCGATCCGCTACGGCATCAGCTACTCCCTGAGTATGGCAGCCATCAGACTGACCAGACCAAAAGTAGGTATACCCGCCTACAGAGATCTGGCCACTCCCCAGTGTGCGTACCTCAGACAGTTTATGAAGCTTCCCTGACAGCAGAGGAAGATGGTCATCTTGCCGGAGAGACAAGACGTTCCACGCGCCCACCCGGATGGGTCGCCTCAAACTGGGACCCAAGTGCCGCCATGCAGCAGGTGATGCCTCAGCACCACACCAGCCCTGTTCCCCAACAAGCCTGACCCTATTAGCTCTCCGACAGTTTCTAATCATCCAGGGATGGGGCAGTTGTGAGTTGTTTTACAGTGGCTGGAGAGCCAATCCCGCCACCAACCCCCAGAAAAAATTGTTTCCCTGCAAGTTGGAGGACCACTTGCAGGGCCAGATGCAGTTTAACGTCATACCCAGGACCCAGGAATACAGTTAAATGCAACCACAAAAGTATTTTGACTATTTTTGATAGCCAGGACTTATTCATGGGTAATGGAGCAGCACTGTCAGTGGATTATCTGCAGTGATTCTGGTTAGGGATGTTTCGCCTATCATGGCAGCCATTTTACCATCCAGAGGTGACATGGCGCTTGGCCTTTGGCATGGACCTAGGATATGTGGGCTGTGATTTAAAAAATTTTTTTTTTTGGTCATCATTTTCAAATCGAACCAGGGCTTCCTCATCTCAACACTTAACATTTTTTTTCCATCACATGCAGCAGAACTTCCGGCCTCATTCTTGGTGAAGTTCCTTTTTTTCCCCTCTTTACTTTTTTTTTTTAAACTCCTTTTTCTTAATAGCAAAATACAGTTACAAAACAGCAGTATCTACAGTATAGTTCAACTATCCCCCCAATGTCCAACATACTCTACATTACACTAATTATTACAATTACAGTACAGTAATTACCGTAGTTTTTATCCTCATAAAGCTTGCAGAGTTGATTCCCAGATGCCTGCCAGGCATATCTCACTCTCTCCAACAGATCAGTGATAGCAACATCATTACGAGCTTGATGGGCCGAATGCCCCCCTCTCGTTTGTAAATTTCTTATGTTCTCTCATTTGTAAATTTCTTATTACCATTATCATTATAGTCAATGAGTGTCACCTTCTTGAGACAAACAAAGCCCCTTCCTCAGTTCTATACCTCTCAAAAATGATTTCTTTGTACATCCTTTTAAACACTTTAATATTTTTGAGTTCTACATCAGCTTTTTCACAAGGTCACCCCACAAATTGAAATACACATACTGTTAAGATTGGTACGAACACATTTTTTCAAATTCAGTTTTCCTAAGTTATAGCCGCCTCCTCTATCTAGAAAAGTTTTTAAAGTATTTCCAGGAAGCAGATTATTTTTTTGCTTTGTACATTCTGTACAGTCTTAAATCCCATCATATCCTTGAGTTCCAAAGCATGCATCTTCAAAAAACACGTTTGTGTGTTCACGAAATCCTGTTTTATTTACTGCCCTTGTAGCCTTTTTTTTGTATTGTGTGTATAATGGTTATAAAGTGCTTTTGATTGTGTTACTCCACACAGTAATTTAGATATGGTAATACAATAGGTGCAATGCTTTATGATTCAGAATGTGCCTTGTTTTTCCAAAACTGTAACACTCTCTGTTTCCATCAGATTTTGTAGTCTAATATCATCATTTCATATACTTTCTATATTAACATGGTTTATCACCTGTACAGTGCCTGACAAAAGTCTTGTCGCTTAACCAAGTTGTAGG